TGATTTTGCCAGACGAGTCAGAGGTTTTGTGAATTTAGTTTGAGTATTTGGATTTGTGTTTAAGGTTTTGAGAAAATGAGTGGTGGTTTCAGGAAACGCGTTTTAGCAATTCAGACTAACTGTAATGAGCTTCAGAAGACGGAGCCGATTAACAGAAATAAAAAAGCAGTAACATACTTTACACTAAGAGATTTAACATGAAAGTTTCCAAAAATAAGAAGTGTTCCTTTTTAACCTAAAGTTCTTCTGCAGTATCATATTGTAATAACATCTACAATTACTAGCAGCAGTACTGTGTATTGTTTTGGTTTGTGTGTAAAAGGCATGCACAACTTTTACACACAACACATAAAAGGAAGAGGAACAATGCTGAACAACATACTGAAGGAAGCCGTTTGCCCCGAGAAACTTGATCTTCTGGACTAAACTCCTGTCGCCACTTAAAACATCACAAAGGAGATCTGAGGGTTTAGGTTCAAACATACAGATACAAACAATGTAAGAAAAACTGTATGACCTGAATCTTTTAACATTTACGCACTGATAAAACTGAATCTGAGATGGTATATTGCTTCTATCTTTCCAGCTGTAGTGTACCTGTGTCCACATAGACCACACTGTGAGGGTTGCAGGGGGTGACAAATCCATACTCTAACAACAGGCGCTGGTTATCATGGGAACCGTAGTTAATGAAGGCCTGCTGGTAGCGGGGTGACCCGGAAACACTCCTGATTTCATAACATCTTGTCCCATCATTGAAACTTGCTTTTACCTGGAAAAAAAACATAATCTTGATGCCATTTTTGAAAACTACTGTAATTTAGCTTCTCCATCTTTCCAACTGTCTAAGCAGAATAGGGTATACAGTATATTCTTTATATTGGGCTATACAAGCTCAGCAATGCCTTGACATACAGTATGTGTATACTACCTGCACATCAGGCTGGTGGTTGAGCAGGTCCAGGAAAGGAGCTAAAGCATAAATGTCCTCTCCAGCCAGGAAGTTGTTGGACGGGTGGGACATGAAGACGGAGCGTGTGTTGACACTACACCACGCCCACCTGGATAAATAAATAAAAACAGATGAGAGACATCCTGCTTTCTTGAAAATGTATTTGACTGAAATATTAAACTAACAAATCTTTGCACACATGTCCAAATTATAGGAAGGCTTGTACTTAACTTCTACGTGTGTGTGTGTGTGTGTGCGTGCGTGCGTGCGTGCGTGCGTGCGCGTACCTCAATGCTACATATGTCAATACCTCCTCAACAGGCTGAGTCAGGATTGGCTGCAGGGATCTGGATAAAAAATACTTACAGTAACTCACAGCTTGGTATGTTTCTGACATTGTTCACATGAGTAAAACTGCTGAGGTTTATATTTGCATATTGAAGGATAATAAGAAATGTTGTAAAATAAGCACTCCAAGGAGCACAGAAGAATGCCATTTAAACGCCATAAATATTACAAATCAAACACTATTTCATTTTAATTTTGATTCTTTCAGCAAAGATTCAGTGTGTCAAGATATCACATACTGCAAGTAATGATACACAATGTGCATGTAGATGCTACCCCACTAATTCTAGGCTGCGCACACCCTTACACGTGTCCCATGAGCGGCACTAACTTGAAAAAGTCTTGATTTAATGAATGGATTTCTTGCACTGCCTCCCTCTGCTCCAAGGCCTGCCTCCGCACACTGATGGGCAGAACAGACATGACGTCATCTGTAAAATAGGCGGGGCAGGTGTAAGCGGTGGGCAGCACGTCAATGTAGGGGAACCAATCAGAGGCCTCTCCTCGGTGCCGCTCACACACCAGGAAGACACAGAGCACCAACAGGGGAGAGAGACGGGGTTTCCAGCTGTGGAGATGAACACAGTGACAGTTTGGTTCCATCTTGTTCTGCTTTCGTGTGTGGAGTTTGCTGTGTTACGGGCCATTAGCTGACAGCAAGTCAGTGACTGACTGACTTATCAGACTTCACAAACACTAAACAAAATCACACATGCCAGAGAATGTAGCATTTATTAGTAACGCTACTACTCTATGTGAAATTGGCCAAAGAAAAGATAGTTGCATCCCAATGTTTTATATTTTTGTGTACCTCTTGATATATGGTCCCAGGTAGCTGTCCAGTACAGTTGAGGTGGTGAGGAGGCAGGACTCTGGCAGGGAAATGATCAGCTGGCCAGGCTGACAGAGGTGAACAGAGACAGACAGACAGACAAGATGTTAGTATCATTTTTGGCAACTAGTATTCTTAGTTTTGTCATTGTTGTACTGACATTTTCTAACTGTGTAACTGGATTTTTGCCTGTGTGTCCGTCCTTGTGCATGCATAGGGTAACTATATCTTATGTCTGTTGGTTTATTCAATATAATTTGTTTCTTGCTTTTATTCAAGTGTCTTGGTAAAAATGAAAACCAACCATAAACACCTTGTCTATTAACTTGGTTCTCTATGACAGGTGTTCAAGTCATTACTAGGCAACCTGCATCATTACCTATGTAGCAACTTCAAAACCTAGCACCTTAGTTCATTTTACACTGGTCAATATTAAGTGACTTACCTTTATAGTTTTGAGAGTCTGCAGTGCTCTGCCTGTGTCTGCATGGACACACACACAGACTTTAAAATGTTCTTCAGTGTTTTATCAAGTTAAATTCAAGACTTTTAAATACCTTTTTTATCATGCAATGAATCAAATTCAGCACCCTTTTCACATTTATACTGGTAGAAGAATGACAGAAAACAAAACAACAAAACATCTAACACGGAAGGTTATGCAACAGTCCTGAGGATATGTAAGACAGAGTGGTACCAGTCATACCAGTGAAGAGGGCTGGCTGCAGCAGTGATGAGGTGAATCCTCGTTGGTGAAGAAACTTCATCAGCCTCACATACTGCTGCTGATGACACAGAGTGACTGAAAAATAAAAACAGGGAGAGACATACTAGTGATGGGATCTGTATGTGCTTTAACAGCCTGCAGCAGGAGACATATTAATACCAGGCTGGGTGCTGTGTTCCCGTTTCTGCCTCCTCCTCCTCGCAGCTCTTCCAGCCCGATGGCAGCGACCCCTCATGACTCCGGCTGACCTGTGTTCCCTTAAACACACCCAACAAACACAACATTTAAAAAATGTTTCTCTTTTCCATTGATGTTAAAACCCCTGTGATCCCTGTATTGGCAATCCAACCACACCTTATTCACAACTTCCCTACAGCATCTGTTAACTTTCTGTACTGCCACTACTTTGCACTTTATAAATGTAAAGAATTATAGAGGATTCTAAAACCTGAATATCTCATCCAGTGAGACAACTTCAACTTGGAATCCATTTAGTGATGTGTGTGATTGGCTATGCGCTTCTGGTTTCTGGCTGTGTTTGGTTTTCTGTACTCAGGTTTCTGTAACAAGAGAGATTTTTATCTCTATGAGACTAGCTGGTTAACTAAAGGTTATATTATATGTATTCACATTATATACTTTCAAGTGCATGCTTGCAAGCACTTCTTGCAACCCATTCAATACAAAATGCAATGCGCAACAAAACTCACGCCACAATCAATTAATTGTAAAGACATAGTTTAAATCAAAAAACACCTATAATATTATCAACTGTATCAAATCGCCACTCTGTATTATCACCCCACATGTAGTGCTCACGTGATTGGATCGTTGTTCCAGGTATTAGCACTAACTGTATGCAAACTCCCTCCAGCATTCCACCTTTTCTGTCCCGCTGCTCTGCTTTGCCTTCTCCAGCTTTACTTTAGCAAGTTCGTGCAGCAACACACCACCAGCTTCAGGTAAGGTGTCCACATTTCACCTCCTAGTCAGATAACCTGCTACTTGCTAAAAAGTTTTGCATTTTAGCAGCTGTGCATGTTTGAATTTGGTATGGTCTGCCAGCTACAAGAAACACTCATCAGTGTTATACAACTTAACCCTCCTGTTATGTTGCAGGTCAAATTGACCCACGAACATAACTGCTTTAAATGAGACAAATATTTGATATGAAGAAATGAACATAACAGGAGGGAACCCTCCTGTTATGTTCATTTCTCAGGTGATGTGGGGCAATTTGTCCTGCAACATAAACACACACACACACACACACACACACACACACACACCTTCAGCTATGTGAAGAGCTGTACTTTAAACTGTACATTGTGTTAGCTTAGGCAAATTTAACCCTCCTGAGCCTGACCTGCAACATAACAGTAGGGTTAAATTTGCCTAAGCTAACACAATGTACAGTTTAAAGTACAGCTCTTCACATAGCTGAAGGTGTGTGTGTGTGTGTGTGTGTGTGTGTGTGTTTCATGTGTATGTGTTGATGCAAGTTTTTTTCTACTATTATTTAATAATTAATATTTGAGTTCATGCATTGATGTCTCTCTGTGGACAGATATGTCCACCCGGGTTGCCGTGGTAACGGGCAGTAACAAGGGCATCGGTCTGGCCATTGTCCGAGCCCTCTGCAAGCAGTTCCAGGGGGATGTTTACCTCACTTCCAGAGACATGTAGGTAACTCACCTGGCAACACCTGCACCAGGCTAATCTATACTACTACACACTGTAGTAGGTTACAGTTTTAACAACAAGTGTGTTTGACTCTTATGTTTCACCAGATCTCACTTTTCAAATACAGCTTGTTTATTCTTATGTAAAAGCATTTGGTCAACTACTGTACAGATTTGAGGTACTTTTATTTTACTTTCAATAAGTATTTTTATTTCTTGTCACTTCTTTCTTTTCTGCTCATGGATCAATAACTGAAATGGTAAATGAACTGCAATTCTATAGTGCTCTGCTACCTTACCTGGACAAACCACTTTACAGATTCACCCATTCATACACACACTCACACCAATGCAGGGCACTGGCCTGGCCAAGGGGAGCAATTTGGGGTTCAGTGTCTTCCATCAAGGAGACACAGAACAGCTAAATACAGGCACAAAAATCACAAACCTACTAAAATAGATGCAAAATTATCATACAAAGAAAAACAAAGAGATGCAAAGGACAATCTCTTTAAATCTAAGTCTTGCTCCTGTGTATGAGGGTTGGGGAACCTTCTACATGTCTGTGTCTATGCTTGTGCTCCACTACAGGTCAGACTTACATGTTGTACTTCTTACTTCTCCACATTCATCAAAATATCTAAATTTAACACAATTACTATCTAGCTGACACTGACAGCTGTTTCTTAAAAGAATAAAAGACAAAGTGGAAATAACTTCAGACCTCTTGCTCTTCTTGCAGTGGCCGTGGTCAGGAAGCAGTGGCGTCTCTGACCTCAGAGGGACTGAAGCCCATGTTTCAGCAGCTGGACATCAATGACCTGAACAGCATCACCACCGCCGCTGCTTACTTTAAAGAGAAGTATGGAGGCGTGGACGTCCTCATCAATAATGCTGGGATAGCATTCAAAGGTAGAATTACAGTGATATTTATACTACAGTAGAGCCATGCACATGAGAATGTTAAAATATATTAATATTACTACAAAGATTGGTATTCTGTCGTGTTAGTATTAGTTCAAGCATATTAAGTACTGCTACAAATTCAGCAGCAGAAACATCACTCAAACATACACTCAGTAACAACAAAGATGGAAATGCAAACAAACCATTAAACAGAATTAAAAAGATTTAGCTCCACTTATTAACATTAATTGCTTGAGCAGTGAAAAGGTTCTCACCTGCTGCCACAGCTGCATCTGGAAAACACTAATCATAGGGTTAAAACAGATGCATGTTTGGTTCAACACTGAAAAAGGAGATCGTACAGTGACTTGATGTAAGAACTCTAAATGCAAAGCATCAATGGCACATACAGTAAGTGCAGCTAATTTTATATTACATACTATATTTCAGTTAACTCTCTCTCACTGTCTTCAGTGGCAGACACAACTCCTTTTGCAATCCTGCATGTTTGGTTCAACACTGAAAAAGGAGATCGTACAGTGACTTGATGTATGAACTCTAAATGCAAAGCATCAATGGCACATACAGTAAGTGCAGCTAGTTAACTCTCCGTCTCTCACTCTCTTCATTGCCAGAAACAACTCCTTGTGCAGTCGAGGCTGAGGTGACCCTCAAGACAAACTTCTTCGCCACCAGAGACATGTTGATTCACTTCCTGCCGCTGATCAAACCTGGAGGTACGGACACAGAACTGGACCAAGTCAACTCTCTGCTTTCTGCTATATGAATAAACACCTCAGTGCACAGCTGACTTTATAGTATAATATTTATTTATAGTATAATATTTTTTTTGTTTTAAGATATCCACTATAAACAAATCTAGATTTTTATTTAACTTGAAAAATGAAGTTTGCAGCTCTCCTTCAAGCTCTTACTAATGTCTGCAGGTATTTTTGATGATGCCCTTGGTTGAAACATTAAAAACATTATGGCTGCCATGAGAACAAAAACATCAAATGGATCCCTTTCTTTTCATGGGTTTTATAATATACTCCCCCTCCATGACACTGCTGCCTACAGCCTCCTGTTGATATTCCAGCTTCTCCACCCTGTGTTGTCAAAGTACAGTCTGTAAATTAGCCCTGCCTGCCACCTAGCCGAGGTTAGAAGAAGCATGTTGATAACAGTGAGTAGTCATGTCAAACAGCCATAGAGGAGCTCTGGGCAGCTAAAAGTCTGGAGCAGTGGCTGCCACAGTGAAGAGACGGTGTTTGTTGGCACAGAGAGAGTGGGACAAAGAAAGAGCAACAGTAATTGGTTTGGCTTTTTGAACCACACCAGACCCTCTAAGCTGAAAAACTTTCAGGTAGAGCAGCTATAACAGCATCAAACATCCTCTGTATGTGTTTCAGGCCGTGTGGTTAATGTCTCAAGCAATTCTGGCTTGCGTGCTTTGAACCAGTGCAGCCCGGCGCTCCAGCAGCGTTTCCGCATCGAGGACATCACAGAGGACGAGCTGGTGGGACTGATGCAGCAATTTGTTGATAAGACCAAGAAGGAAGAGCATAAGAAAGACGGCTGGCCTGAGACTGCGTACGGAGTGTCCAAGCTGGGACTGACGGTATGATTGAGCCATTTGTCTTCAGGGCTTTAATCAGTTGTCTTAGTTTTAAAATGTGTAGAAATTAGGGCTGCCCAATTAAATGTTTTCCGAGCGCTGTAAAGATCCCTATGTGATCTCAGTTTCACATGACAATGATTCTGCTGTGGTTGCTGTAGCATTAAGATTACTTGCATCAAACTAAGCACTATCTTTTCCTCGCTGAGCTTCTTTAACTAATAAATGCAAAGTGATTTCTTTCTCATATTTCTGCCTCAACTGGTATTCTGCAGGGCACGGGGTGCACCGCTTGAAGAATAGTTGCATGAGGGCACAGAATATCTTTCAGCATGGTCAAACATGTTGGATTTGTTTTTGAATTTTGAGTCTTGTCTCGTCTACAGTTTGTCATGTGATGTAACACATTCCTTGTTTAGTGGTTAACGCAGATTAGCGAGGAAAAGGGAGCGCTTGTTTTGATGCAAGGCATCTCCTTGCTGATGCTTACACAGTAGAATCATTGTCACCTGAGGCTTGAGATCACATTGGGATCTACATTGGGATCTAAACTGCTCAAAAAATGATTAATAGTGCAGCCCTAGTAAAAATGCAGGAAAACGTTTATATCAACCACAATACTCATCATTCTAAATAAAGGACTGGTTGAAATGCTTCTCTAATGCCACATTTCCTTTCGTATAGACATTAATTCTAAATATTTTTGTGTTGTAGACTTTGTCTATGATCCAGGCTCGTCGTCTGTCCAAGGAGAGACCGAATGACGGGGTAACAACTGAAATATGACAACTTTTAATCAAACCACCAAACAAAACTATGCACTAACATCTACTTTGTTCAGCACACCAGCTGCTTTCAACTGATAAAAAGATGAATAAATGTTACATGCTGTAATGTGGTTTATAATATCCTGTGTACAACAAAGAAACTTGATGTCACAAGAAGTAATGCACATTATAAATTAAAGTTATTAGTGTCTAGCGAAAACTCACCACTAACATACATTTGTTATTTGTACAGATCTTACTGAACGCCTGTTGCCCAGGTTGGGTGCGCACAGACATGGCCGGTCCGAAAGCCACCAAGTCACCAGATGAGGGCGCTGTCACTCCGGTCTACCTGGCCCTGCTACCGCCTGGAGCTACAGGACCTCACGGAAAGTTTGTCTCTGAAAAAGAAGTTCAGCCGTGGTGAAAGGGTTAAAGGGTCCTGTGTGGATGTGTATGTGTCTACTGGGTTGCAACGGTAATCGTGCATGAATCTCTGTAAGTGCGGGCTAATCGCTCTTGTTTTTGATAAAACCCTGTTTTCACTTTGCCTTCAGTGATTAAAAACATTTTGTTTACATGGAAAAAAGGTGAACTCACCTTAATTGTATGAAATTTCAATTTTTGAAATCAAAGAAAAAAAAGTATTTCTGGCAAAAAGTGCCTTTCTACAGTGCAGTGCTTCCTTTTTAATACATGACTTTGCTTTCAACAATAAATGAATTTCAAAATCCAAAATATTTGTCATAATAACTGGCAAGCACAAAGTAGAAGAAAACAAAGCATGTAAAACTAAATGGGCCAAATTGTGCATATAAAATCATAATGAATCACTTTGTAACTGCTATGATATGAGACAACAATCAAGAGAAAGATGAACACAAAGAAGTTTCCACCCTCTGGTTCATCTCAATCTGATGGCGTTAACTTCTTCTAGCACAGAATCCCATACCTTGTGCCACTCTTTACTGATTTTATGGTTTTGTAAGTTTAATCAGTTTGTTTTTTAACGGCTTCTGTGTTTATTGTGGCCACTGCCTCATTACCCAAAGTACCTACAGTATGTGAATGTGATCTGAGTGTCTTGAGCTATTCATGTTAAATGTACTGCTTTTATTTTGAAAAGCAAAATAATGCACATGACTAAAGGCTATTCAGAGAACATGCAGAAGCGCTTTAGACTGTAACTTTGGTATTTGTTCAGTCCATTTTAAGAACACATTTTGTATTACTGGTACTTGTACAGTATGCTGTGTGAGACTGGGAGTTGTAGTCCTGTCAGACCAGAATAAATCCCTGATTACCTTGTAGATAAAACTAATCCACAAAGCAAGGGAGAGATGGTAATCCTGTAATCCCTGCTGTCTGCCAAGGGGAAAACCCTCTCTCTCTCACACATACACACACACTTTGATAATTATAGTGACCAGGGTTATCATTGCTTGTAATTGCTGCATTACTAATTATTTTATTGTGGGGGAATTTCCTGAGTTGAAACACAACCAGAGATACAATACAGTAGTCAGTATTGACTTTGTTTACATCCAGCACATGAGTTCAAGAGGAACTTTGGAGCCAATCCCAGCTCACACTGGGCGAGAGGCAGGGTCCACCCTGGACAGGTCACCAGTCTCTCACAGGGCTGGTGTAGACAAACAACCACACACACACCCACACTCACTCCTATGGGCAATTTAAGTCACCAGTCAACCTAAGTTGCATGTCTTTGGACTGTGGGAGGAAGCCGGAGCACCCGGAGACAACCCATGCAGGCACAGGGACAACATGCAGACTCCAGGCCAGCCACTGCTCAAACCTGGAGCCTTCTTGCTGTGAGGCAGCAGCGCTAACCTCTGCTCCACTGTGCTATCCTGACTGATACAAATGTATCTGAATTTTAGCAGCTAAAGGTATGTGAATCTCTCAAATGAATAAATGCCTGCAAACCCCACGACAGCATGAACCTGTCATTACTCTCATTCAGTGACCACGGATTATATCCAATAACTGACTTTTCTGATAATCTATCTACAGCAGGCAGTGAAATGGACTTCAGACTGGATCCCAAGAGAACAGACACTTTAGATTGGTTCTCTTTGCAGCATGTGAGGACGCAGCCACGGACACTAATCCAGAAAAAAAATAAAAAAATTTAAATCACAGTGTTGTCACAAATATTAAGACTTAAGCTTCTTAACATTTTAAAGTTTCTATTTTCACTGATACTTTTGTTCTTTAACCTGGGATTATTTGGCACAAGGTAAACCGAACTAATCTTCCTTTACATTTAGAGTTTGCAAATTCGTTTCAGCAGTCAGATTATAGTGACATGATTTTGTGCTATTTCCAAGTATGTGGTGTCAAACTGGCAGATGTAATGTGCAGATTAGAGCCTGCAAAAAGCCAATAAAGAAAAACTGTTGACTTTAAATTTTGACTACAAACACTTGAGTGCACGTTTTATTTTACAGTAGTGTCACAGCTTATAATCTTTGGTCTTTACTGTCTTTATAATGTTGGACACTCCACTGTTGCAGGTTTCAGCTGGTGCGACAGGGACACTGGTCAAGGTCAGGTCAAAGTGTTTGTCATATGCACAGTTAGGAAACATGTTTCCTTGTACAATGAAATTCTTACTTTGCCTCCACATGAATGCCACAAAATACAAATCTAATATAAAGTAGATAACACAAAATCTAAGGCACTTTAAGCAGCAAATGCAACAATATAATAAAAATATATAAGAATATAAATGCTACATGAGAGCAGCATGTGCAGCAGTCAACAATCATTGTGCAATTATGCATGTGCAAACAGAATGTAAACAGTACATCACATATTTCCTGGTAATAAACTCCTCAG